ACTTGGCTCCTGGCTGCCCACGGGGAAGTGGAGCCCACTCTTGGCATTCAAGACCTTGTCCCAAAATCCTGCATTTCCAAATGATGTAAGCACCCCAGGCTGGAGGAAACGGTGCTTTTAGCCGCTTGCTGCAGCTCCTGGCTTTCGTGGAAATGTTCAAACGTGGGGACAGCCAGCTTTTTTGGAGAGCATTTGCCTCTTGGAGGGTGTTTAGGAACCAGGCGGGTGCGTTAAGGAGCTCCTGATCCCTCTCCTGCCCTTCCCAGGGAAGAGGTTTGCTCATCCAGGGATTTTTTGGGGAGACCATCCCGGCTGTGGGAGCAGACCCGGCTCCAGCCTCCCCCCCTCCTCGCCCTCTGAGCAGGAGAAGCCAAGAGGGGAAGAGCCACTCACGAGGTTTCCTTTTCTGCTCTTTGCCGCCTTCTACTGTTATTTTTTTTTTTTTAAACTCCGGCCTGTTTGCTTTTTTTTTTTCTCTTTCCTTTGGCTTGTTCATTTTTAACCCTTTGCTTTCCCTGCCAGCGCTGCCCTTTCCTTGCAGTCCACGGGGTTTCAGCCATCTCCAGCTCTGCACAAAGGACTGGGTCAAGTGCACGGGGCACGGGCTCGGTCTTGCTTCTGAGCTCTGGTTATTTTGGAAGCTGAGTGGATCCAAGCTGGTGAGATATGGAGCTCCAAGGGAAAAAGCTGGGGTGCTCATGCTAAGGAGCCCGGCTCTTTGCTGTGAGGCAGGCCCCCGGGCACAAGCTGGAGCTTCTCAACTGCATCTCAGTGGGGGAAAGTTGTCTTGTTCGAAGAACGAAGCAATGAAGATGATGAGAGGTGTGGAGGGGCTCCCCTACAAGAAGAAGCTGTTTCAGCTCAGGAATAAGGAGGAAATGGTGGTCCACATGGACTGTGTCACTGGTGAGGAGGAAGAAGACCAAAGAGGAGAGTGATAAAGGTCTATAAGATGGTGAGCGGCTCAGAGACAATCAATTTTCCTTTACTAGCTGGGATAATGAGTGAAGCTGGTTTGCAACAAGACCAAAAACACATGGAACCTTTCATCTTGGTCTCCTGTGGAGCTGAGGAACTCCTCGCCGCAGGATGCTCCGGGTGCTAAAAGTTCGATGGCTCCAGAAACTCACAGAACAGAGAGTTGGAAGAAAAGTCCAAGCTTTTAAATACAAAGACATCACTTCTGGCTCACAAAGTGACCGACCTGCAGGTTGCTGAAGCCTTCAAGACCCTCCACGGGGGATGTCAGCAAAGGCTTGGCTTGTCCTGGATCTCCTCCCTTCCAAAAACCATCCCAGGGCCGGGAGCGCCCTACGGAGGGCTTCCACCTGAGGTAAAGGAGAGGGGCTGGGGGGCTCTGGCTGGACGCACGGGCAGGATTTGTCCTCTCCATTGCTTGCTGGCAGCAGATGAGATCTCAGCAGTGCTTCTGAGCAGGTTTTTGGGATCGTAGACATTTCTTCTCAGGCCCGTCCGTTTCGATCTCAACCCGCCCTTCCTGCCGCCCCGACCTTCTCTCCCAGCCAACCCTCCTCCTTCCACCCTGCTTCATTTCAAATGGAAAATTAATAATTAACCGGCCTGTCCTTTGAGCGGCAGGTAAAGAAAACCCCCGAACACCTGCCTTTTGGGTTGTCTCTCTCCTCGGCCTCTGTTTGTTTTTCCAGCGAGTTCCTCTCCACGAGCAGCGTGTTGGCATTTCGGGGTGGACTCCTGACCACCCCCCAGGGCTTTCTTCAACCAGCCAGAGCCACTTCTCTTTGCTACCAGCCTCTCCCACTGCAATCCATCTCCTGATTTGTGGAATACTGGGACTATTTTGGAAGCTGCTTGCCTTTTTGTGTCCGCAGGGTCTTCTCTCCGAGCTCCAGATGGTCACCAACCCCCTGCAGCATCTCAGCACCTTCCTTCTCCGACCTCCGTCCTCGCGTACCTGTCTCACAGCACACGTCGACGCGGGAGGTGGAACGGGAGGCACCTTCACCCTCTCCTGGGAATTTTGGGATACAGAAATATGATAGGAAAGGAGGTAGGAAGTGGTTGGTTTGATCTCTTCCTGCTTGTTTCTGCTTGAGCTCTTTCAACCTGCCTGGACACGTTCCTGTGGGACCTGCTCTGGGTGGACCTGCTTTGGCAGGGGGTTGGAGGAGATGGTCTCCAGAGGTCCCTTCCAACCCCATGTGATTCTGATTCTGTGATTCTGTTTTTCACTTAATTAATGTATTACCCTATTTTTCAATTAAATATGCAGAGAGAGAATGTTGGGTTTCTCCTTTTCTGGCGGAGAAGGAAAACCTGGAGTTATTTCCCATCCCCGTTCACCTACAGACCAGGAACATCACCACCCCCTTCTCTGGGCCTTCAAGGACAACTCCAGAGAAGCAAAGATGCCTCTTTTTAGATACATGAAATCTAAACCCCGATCCTTCTGGCAGAACGGGGTGAAAGGAATCCTCTTTTGTAGAGATTCACCCTCCTGGTTTCTGGCTGAGCTTCCACATGCTCCGACCCCACTCCCTCATTTTTACGACACCCATAAAGACATCGTTGGTGTTTGATCAGCCGAGGGGGGAATGTTTGTGAAGGGGCAGGGACTGTGCCCACACGCCCCTCCCGAGAGACCCGGGGTAAACCGGGCTCAAACCAAGAAAATCTCCAGTTTTCTCAGATCTTCACGCGTCACCCTCCTAAAAATTTAGATTTTTTCCCTATCCTGCTAAAATTACTTGCCCCAAGGCTGGAGCGCTTTGGTCCTGGGGACAGAGGTGCAGGGTGGGTGCTGCAGGTGACAGCAAAGCCTGGGTTTTTCTCTATAATCCCCATTTTTCCTGTTTCTCTACAGGGTTGCGGACAGCATGGAGTGGCCACACGCCCCCCCCCCCGCAGACACCTATAGGGGGGTAGGTGAGTGTATAGAAAGGCAAGTGAGCATATGGAAAGGCAGGTGAGCCTATAGGAGGGCAGATGAGTGTATAGGAAGGCAGGTGAGCATATGGAAGGGCAGATGAGCCTATAGGAGGGCAGATGAGCATATAGGAGGGCAGGTGAGCGTGTAAGAGAGCAGGTGAGCATATAGGAAGGTGGATGAGCATATAGGAAGGCAGATGAGTGTACAGGAGGTCAGGTGAATGTCTAGGTAGGCAGTTGAGCATATGGAAAGGCAGGTAAGCATATAAGAAGGGGGATGAGCATACAGAAAGGCAGGTGAGCATATAGAAAGGCAGGTGAATGTATAGGAAGGTGGGTGTATAGGAAGGCAGGTGAGTGTGGAGGAAGGTGGATGAGTGTGTAGTGAGTGAGGCAGCTTGGTGTATAGGGGGGGAGGTGAGTGTATAGGAATGTGGATGAGCACACAGGAAGATGGATGAGCTTATAGGAAGGCAGATGAGTGTGGAGGAAAGTAGATGAGTGTACAGGAGGGCAGGTGAGCCTATAGGAATGTAGAAGAGCATATAGGAAGGTGGATGAACATATAGGAAGGCATGTGAGCATATAGATCCTGCCACCCCCGACCATGCTAGGCGATCAGTTATCGGCCACCCCGAGGGGCAGCTCCTGTGTCCATGGACACCAGCCAGAGCTTGCAGGGGTGGTGGGTCTGGGGTGGTGGGGGTGAGACCCAGGGAAGCCTTAACCTCCAGCTCCTGCTGGCCCTGGGCCACCCAAGCCTCTCCTGCGTGCCGGGGCTGTGCCGCGGTGACTCACCCCGCAGCACATTTCCAACTGGCAACCAGTGAAAATAGAAACGTCCCCAGCTCCTCAGCCAGGAATAACTTTTTTTTTTTTCTTCCCTTTAAAGTGAAATCCCGTTTTTTTTGGTTTTTTTTTTTTCTCTCTGACTCAGTCCCAATAAAGCCACCGCAGAGTGGCACAGCCTCCTCCCTGCCTTCTGCGCTGTGGCCCGCGGCATGTCGGCCACCAGTGTAGGTGTGGGAGGGGAGAAGCAAAGCTCCATGAGATTGGTCTGGGGGGACGATGCCACGTGCTGGTGGGACACGGCTGGGTGTTATTTCGGGATGCAGAGCTCGGGAGCAAAAAGGGGCTGTTTAGTTTGAGGAAGAGGAGGCTGAGGGGAGACCTCATCACTCTCTACAACTCCTTGAAAGGACACTGTAGAGAGGTTGGTGCTGGTCTCTTCTCACAGGTAATTAACAATAGAACGAGAGGGAATGGCTTCAAGCTCCAACAGGGGAGGTTTAGACTGAACATTAGGAAGGAATTTTTCACCGAAAGAGTGGTCGGGCGTTGGAACAGGCTGCCCAGGGAGGGGGTGGAGTCACCATCCCTGGCTGTGTTTAAGGGCCGTTTAGATGCAGTGCTGAGGGACATGGTGTAGGGGAGGACTTTGTAGAGTAGGGGAGATGGTTGGACTCGATGATCCCAAGGGTCTCCTCCAACCTGAATCATTCTATGATTCTATGAGGAGAGGTTGGGGTTGTAGCTCAGGCTGTTTTGGAGGTTTATAAGATGGGAGAAGGAGGGAGGAGAGGATGGATGACTGCGGGGAATGGAGCTGGGAGCTTCCAGACCCTCCTGCCTCGATGGTGGGATGGGGACAATGGGTCTCCTCGCCTCTGCCCTCTTTAGGATGAGCATCTGCTGGTGGCCACCATCAAATGGCAAAGTGGGGCTGATGGAAAGCAGGGCAGGGGAGTGATGGGGCCGTGCTGGTCCCCATGGAGCCTCCTGGGGCTGGTGGGTGGTTGGAGCCGTAGCGGAGGAACTGGGACCTCTGGGGAGCAGACACAACAGCGTTATCTCAGCCACCCCACGTAACCACTGCTCCCCCTACACGCTGCCCTCCAGGCCTTCCCGGGCTCTGCCAGCCTTTTTTGGGGGAGATAAGCCAGGTCCCAGTGCTCTATCAGGCCAGCCCACACCTAGGATCCAGCAAAACACGGCCACTGTCCCCACCCCTGCCCCAGCCCCGGCCACAGGATGCTCATTTCCCTGGCAGAGTCCATCCAAACCGCCCCAGGGATGAAGCAGGGCACAGCACACTCATTAAAAATTATTCAAATAGCAATTAAGGACTATTTACACAGCTCCCCATCTAAAAACTCTGGCTCCCGGGAAGCAAGACAATGCTCCAGGTGATTTTTCTTGGGGAATCCGAGCTGGATGAGGTGTGGAAGTAATTTTGGGATTTCTTTTTTTTTTTTTTTGGAGCTTCTCCAAAAGATAATCACTCCTGGTTCTTCTGTTGTTTTCCTTCAGCCAACACCTCACCACCCACTCTGGGGATGTCCCAGAGGGACCCTCGGGGACCCCTCACTCTGGATGTTGGGGGATAAACCTCCAAGTTGATGTTGGAGTTGGGAAGGGAGCGGGCAGCTCTCCAGGGCTGCTGCCTCTGCCTGCCCACGCTCTTGCCCATGGCTGGGAAACCCCTCCATCAATCTTGCACCAACCAGATGAGCTCCAGGCAGCTCCAGAACATCTCTGGGGTGTCCTATGGCACATCGAAGCGCCTTTCTGGCAGCGATGGAGGTGTTTCTTCTTCGGGTTCGGGGGGACTGGGGGGCTGTGGGGGCTGCGGTGCCCGGGGCAGCTTGTGGACCTGGGCATAGATGGGGCTGGGGCTCCTCTTACTCTCTGGTTCCTCCTGGGCCATGATCTCCTGCACTGAGCTCTTCTTACTCTCCAGCTCCTCTTGGGTCATGATCTCCTGCACTGAGCTCTTCTTACTCTCCAGCTCCTCCTGGGCCATGATCTCCTGCATGGAGCTCTCCTCGCTCTTCAGCTCCTCTTGGGCCATGATCTCCTGCATGGAGACACCAGGCTCATCCCCATTGGGCAGGGATGGGGAGTCCCCCAGGACACTGCCAGCTTCCCAAGGCTTTTTCAGCATCCCAGATTTTTCAGCAGCCCGGATGCTTTCATAGATGGGTCCCTCGTTATCCAGAGCAGGGTCTGCCATGGCTGTGCCGGCATCCCCGGGCAAACCCGGCAGCTGCCGGTGCCGCAGGAACTCGGGGGTCCTCTGGGGTGATTCAGAGGGTCTGTTGGGATGGGGTGTCCAGCCTGGAACCCCCACAGCGGGATTATCCAGGTCCCTCGACACCACGGGGCCGTCCTCCTTCTGTTGGGGTTCACCAGGAGAGAGGGTGCCTGCAGGGAGGGAGAAGAAGGGGCGCTGAGCCAGGGAGGGGACCCCCAGCATCCCCAGCTAATTCAAGGGTAAAGTAGCATTACTGAATCACAGAATCTTCTAGGTTGGAAGGGACCTCAAAGATCATCTTGTCCAACCGTCAACCCAACTGACAAAAATAGACACCCACACAACAAACAAGGAGCATCATCACTAAACCAGACCTCCCAGCACTACATCAACCCGGCTTTTGAACACCTCCAGGGATGGGGCCTCACCCCCCTCCCTGGGCAGCCCATTCCAATGGCTGAGAACCCTTTCAGTGAAAAAATTTTTCCTAATATCCAGCCTGAACCTCCCCTCCCGTAACTTGAGGCCATTTCCTCTTGTCCTGTCGCCTGGGACTTGAGAGAAGAGACCGACCCCCACCTCTCTACCCCCTCCTTTCAGGGAGTTGGAGAGAGCAAGAAGGTCTCCCCTCAGCCCATTGATTAAATGGGTCCCACTTCTGTCCCCACTCTTTGCTCTTAGCAAGAAAAATGGTAAAAAGCAAAGAAAATAGAGGCTGAGTGTCCCCGGGTTGCTGATGATGGGCCGCGGGGCCAGCGCGGCGTCGGGACCTGGCGGCTCATGCCCTGGGTCAAATATTGATTTAAGAAGGAGGCTCCGCTCCGCGCCCGGGCTCTGTCAACACCGGGGCTGGTGGAGCAGGACGCACGGCCGGTTCGGTGGCTCCGAAGGCGAGGGAGGCCCTGGGGAAGCTGTGGAACCGGGTGTTTCTCCTCCTGCTTGAAATACCCCGGGGTTTGGTGATCCCCCGGGGACACAACAGGAGAGCCCAAACATAAGCACCCCAGCACCAGCATCCCAAAGTGGCGTCCCGACACCAGCACCCCAGCATCAGCACCCCAACGTGAGCACCCCAAAGCAAGCATCCCAACATGGACAACCCAATGTGAGCACCCCAAGAGTAGGGATCCCAGCGTGAGCACCCCAACATGAGCACCCCAACGTGAGCACCCCAAAGCAAGCATCCCAACATGGACAACCCAATGTGAGCACCCCAAGAGTAGGGATCCCAGCGTGAGCACCCCAACATGAGCACCCCAACGTGAGCATCCCAAATGTGAGCACCCCAACGTGAGCACCCCAAAAGTGAGCACCCCAGCACAAGCACCCCAACATGAGCACCTCAGCATGAACATGCCAATGTGAGCACCCCAATGTGAGCACCTCAACATGAGCACCCAGCCATGAGCACCCCAACATGAGCACTCTGTTAGCATCCCAACATGGACAACCTAACATGAGCACCCCAACATGAGAATCTCAATGTGAGCACCCCAGCATGAGCATCCCAAATGTGAGCACCCCAATGTGAGCACCCCAAGAGTAGGGATCCCAGCGTGAGCACCCCAACATGAGCACCCCAACGTGAGCATCCCAAATGTGAGCACCCCAACGTGAGCACCCCAAAAGTGAGCACCCCAGCACAAGCACCCCAACATGAGCACCTCAGCATGAACATGCCAATGTGAGCACCCCAATGTGAGCACCTCAACATGAGCACCCAGCCATGAGCACCCCAACATGAGCACTCTGTTAGCATCCCAACATGGACAACCTAACATGAGCACCCCAACATGAGAATCTCAATGTGAGCACCCCAGCATGAGCATCCCAAATGTGAGCACCCCAATGTGAGCACCCCAAGAGTAGGGATCCCAGCATGAGCACCCCAACATGAGCATCCCAACATGAGCACCCCAAAGAGAACATCCCAACCTGAGCACCTCAAAATGGACAACCTGACATGAGCACCCCAACACAAGCCTTTCAGTGTTAGCATCCCAACATGGATATCCCAACATGAGCACCCCAATGTGAGCACCCCAACATGAGCACCCCAATGGGAGCATCCAAACATGGGCACCCCAATGTGAGCACCCCCAATATAAGCACCCCAACATGAGCACCCCAATGTGAACACTCCAGTAGGAGCACCTCTAATGTGAGCACCCCAACATGAGCACCCAACCATGAGCACCCCAAAGAGAACATCCCAACCTGAGCACCTCAGCACGGACAACCCAACATGAGCACCCCAACATCAGTGCCCCAGTGTGAGCATCCAAACCCACACACCCCAACACGAGCCCCCCCGCTGTCAGCCCCCCAGCAAGGTGCACCCCAGCACCCCAGGGGGGGCCAAGGCTTCACATTTGGGGGGTCCCTTCTCCACCCCACTGCAGAAAATGAGGAGAGGATGAGGGGGGT